CCACCTACCTCACAGGGTATCTGTTGTGGGGAGGGGAAGGGAAAGGAGTTTGTAAGCCGCTCTGAGACTCCTTCGGGTAGTGAAGGGTGGGGTATAAATCCAATCTCTTCTTCTTTGTCGTCTTTTTAAAATTTCTTTAGAACATTTCAGCCATAATTGTATTCTATTGTTTTTATATTTGTTGTAAACTACCCAGAGAGCTTTGGCTATGGTTGGTACAGAAATGAAATAAATTGTTGTTGTTGTGTTTGTTGTTGTAGTTGTAGTAGTTATTATTATTATTGTTATCATCATCATCATTATTTAACAACAACAACTTTTCGTATATTGGAGCACAGATTTTATGGCTAGAATGTAATAAACACAAAGCGTATAGCCAGATATTTACTCATCGTGTTCTGACCTGAACCACAATCCTTTTGGAAATGCCACGAATGCTGTGAAATCAAACACAATTCTTTAAAATATTTGGGAGGAGTGGAAATTTTCTGTTCTAATAATTGATGCCTCCTGGAATTCACTGGGGAATTCACATGGAATTCAGTGTCACAGGAGGTGGTGGCAGCTGCAAGCATGGAAGGCTTCAAGAGGGAATTAGATAAACATATGGAGCAGAGGTCCATCAGTGGCTATTAGCCACAAGGTATAGATAGGGGCTCTGGGGCAAGTGATGCTCTGTCTTCTTGGTGCTTGGGGGGGTCAACAGTGGGAGGGCTTCTAATGTCCTGGCGTCACTGGTGGACCTCACCTGGTATTTTTGGCCACTGTGTGACCCAGAGTGTTGGACTGGATGGGCGGCATGGTGGGCGGCACGGTGGGCATGACAGTAAACACCTGATTTATGTACTCCGTATGATGACGGGGGTGAGAGCGCCAAAATACTTATTTGTAGTTTCCTTTAGGTGAGGTCTAGATTTATTCTCTTTTAACACCTGAGAGGTCACTGAGAGCAGCTTACCTGATATTTTTTTTATGTAGAATGAGGGTTCCCACGGCACCGCCCATTGGCACTGTGATGCCCACTGAGATTTTTCGTTGTGCCCACCAAGTATTTTTAGAAAGTGGGTGGGGCATTCGCCCAGCAAACTTCTGATTGGCCATTGGAGATTTGATTGCCTGTGCAGGTTGGTTGGTTTTTTCAAACTTTGGCAGCAGCTGTCACCACAGCACAAGAATCTCGACTGTGTGATTAGAGGTAAGCTGCGGCGGCCATTTTGTGACTGGCTCTGCCTCTTGCGGTAGCCATTTTGTGGCTGCCCCCACCCCACTGTGTCAGGTTGGGAGCCTGTGATGTTTAACGAGCGTCCACTTACCCTCTCTACCTGTTGCTTTAGCTGGCTCACGCTAACTCAGCTTAGAGGGAACAACCTGCAGCTTCGGGCATTCCTCCTCTGTGCCTGCCATGACTTCAGAGTAGACATCTGTTGAAAGCCTCGGAAACACCTCTATGGTCAACAGGTTGTTCCTGGGCCGCTTGCGGGAAACGGTAAGGACCAACTCCTACCTGCTTGCCCCCGCCCAGCCAATCCCTTTGTCCCTTAGAGGCTTGCAGGCTTTCGAAGAAGTAGTGATGAAGAGTCCAATGTTCCCTCTACTGTGGAGTCTTGTGAGCAAAGATTCTATTTTTTGAGCTACCGGCATTAAAGTTGTGAGCCAGCGATTTGGCTGCTGCATCAATCAGTTTGCTCTGGAGCCCATCCCGCCTGAGCTGAGACAAAAAATGTGTGAGTCGCAGGCTAAAAAAACTGTGAACTCGCTCACACTAACTCATCTTAGAGGGAACACCATTCCCAAGTTACCCAAGTTATGTTGAAGTTTTATTCTAAGGTCGCCAGCTCTAGGCCAGAGGGCATGTTTTACCACGAAGAAAAGCACATTGTGTGCTCACTGAGACATGAGATGTTTTGTTTGTAGCGCCAAGATGGGGGTTTTTTTCTGCCCTAAACCACCAGCGAGGAAAAGGAAGCCATTTTGAAAACTCTGGCCAGTTTGGTGTAGTGGTGAAGTGCGCGGACTCTAATCTGGGAGAACCGGGTTTGATTCCCCACTCCTCCACTTGCACCTGCTAATATGACCTCGGGCAAGCCGTAGTTCTGTGTTAAATACGAGACTCAACACAGCTAGTGAACAGTGAATCAGCTTTATTAATGAAGTCAGAAGAAATCAGAACGAGACAGAAACATAGAGCAACAGGCTCTCTTTTAAACAGTCCAGGCTTAGGTAGCCACGCCCACAAGTCAGCTAACAACCAATCACTATTTACATATAACGTCCAATCAGAGTGCTTCCCTCCAGAACACTGCACAGCTCTGATCGGTCTATTTACAATCCTGTCTCAGAACTCAAGCTCATACAGATCTTAATACACAACACTCTGATAAGAGCTGTCCTTGAAAAAAAGAGCCGTTTCTGTCAAGAGCTCTCTCAGCCCCGCCTACCTCACAGGGTGTCTGTGGTGGGGAGGGGAAGGGAAAGGAGTTTGTAAGCCGCTCTGAGACACCTTTGGGCAGTGAAGGGCGGGGTATCAATCCAATCCTTCTTCTTCCTCATATCCTGCCATTCCTCTTCGATAAATGTGGCTCTTCCTCTGGCGGAAAGTGCCTTTCTCCAGCAGTTAGTTGCCAGCTCCATGTTGGGAAATTCCTGGAGATTTGGGGGCGGAGCCTGGGGACGGCAGGGTTTGGGGAGAGACGGGACCTCATCGGGGCATAATGCCGCAGAGTCCACCCTCCAAAGCAGCCATTTTCTCCAGGTGAACTGATCTCTGTTGCCTGGAGACCAGTTGAAATACCGGGAGATCTCCAGGCCCCACCTGGAGGCTGGCAACCCTGCCAATGACAGAAGGCCGAGTTTTCTCCCATGAATCTGGGTAACAATCCATCTCATGTGCCCATCGCTTATTTGAATCTCCACTGAATATTCACCAAAGTCCAGGTTGTGGGTTTTGTAGCAATAATACCCCTTGAAAAGTTATCCTTTATATATATTTGATTATAGATTTAGGCCTGGTTTACTTTATTGAGACAAGGTAGGGTTGCCAGCCTCCAGGTGGGGCCTGGAGATCTCCCGCTTTGACAACTGATCCCCAGCTGACAGAGATCAGCTCCGCTGGCGAAAATGGCTGCCTTGAAGGGTGGACTCTGTGGCACTGTACCCTGCTGAGGCCCCTCCCCTTCCCAAGCCCCGCCCTCTCCCGGATCCACCTCCAAAGACTCCAGGTATTTTCCAACCCAGACCTGGCAACCCTAAGACAATGTGTTGCAAGTACTATTGCAGAAGTAATAACTAAAGTGATTGAACTGCGGACCGGAAGGTCGGTAGTTCAGCAGTTCGAGACCCGAGTGCCGCGTGATGGAGTGAGCTCCCATCTCTGGCCCCAGCTCCTGCCAACCTAGCAGTTCGAAAGCATGAAACTGCAAGTAGATAAATAGGTACCACTTCGGTGGGAAGGGAACAGCGTTCTGTGCGCCTCGGTGTCTAGTCGTGCCGGCCACATGACCATGGAAATGTCTTTGGACAGCACTGGCTCTTTGGCTTGGAAACGGAGATGAGCACCGCCCCCTAGAGTCGGATTCGACTGGCTTTCGAGCAAGGGAACCTTAACCTTTAACTTTTACGAGAAGAGAGTGGTTGTACTAAAGGAAGTTGAAGTCGATTCCTCATCCGGAGACTCTCCGTCTGAGTTCTCTTCTTATTCATAATTTCCCGTGCATTTCCTTGGTCACGTTTTTAATCTCTTTGTCTCAGTTCCCTAATCTGCAAAACAGGAAGCACTTCCCCGTGGCGCAAGTGCGGGGGGTTATCCATCCATCTTCAAAGCGGTGGCTTTGAAGCAGAAGGAAACTGTGCCTGCTGACGGTTAACTGTGTGTTGCATTGTATCGAATCTCCTCCCAACAGCGCTTCCAGCAAGTAGGGCAGAGCCGAAGCCACTTTTATCTGATCCCTTTGCAATTGTGAATAACAATAGTAAAGGGAGTACGGTCCATAATCCTGGACGTGTTTGTGTTTTATCTTAGACAGGATTGTCTGGGACACGGCTATAGCAGTTCCGCCAGTGTTATACAAATAACAGTTGGCTCCCAAGGAATGCTCCCTCTAAGCTGTGGAGTCTTGTGAGCAAAAATTCTACTTTGTGAGCTACCAGCATGAAAGTTGTGAGCGAGGAATTGGCTACGGTGTAAATCAGTTTGCTCTGGAGCCCTCCTTCCTGAGCTAAGACAAAAATGTGTGAGCTGGAGGCTTAAAGAACGGTGAACTCGCACACAATAACTCATCTTAGAGGGAACGCCGCTCCCAAGTTCCGTTGAAGTTTTATTCTAAGGTCGCCAGCTCTAGATTGGGAAATAACTGGAGGTTTGGAGGGGTGGAGCTTGAGGAAGGGAGGGACCTCGACGGAGGCATAACGCCATAGAGTCCACCTTCCAAAGCAGCCATTTTTTCAAGGGAAACTTGATATCTGTTCTTTGGAAATCAGCTGCAATACCGAGAGATCTCCAGGCTCCATCTGGAGGTTGGCAACTCTGTCGTATTCCCAGTCAGCATTTCGGGATCAAGATTGTGTGAATCTTTTCAAATGTCCCCAGCCTGCAGAGGTGAGGTAGGCGGTGACCAGAGACGGGGCTTTTTTGGTTGTAGCACCTTGCCTTTGGAATGCCCTCGCCTTCCAGGTTCACCCGGCACCTGTCTTGCTGTAGTTTAGATGACGGGCCAAACATTTTGTTTTATTTTGGCTTTTCACTTAGCATTCCCCCTATTTTTTTAAAAAACCCTGTTTTTATGTGTTATGTGTAAAAGCTGTTTCTAGCCTGCGGGCTGTTTTATCAGTATTGATTTAGTATTAATTGAGAGCCAGTTTGGTGTAGTGGTTAAGTGTGCGGACTCTAATCTGGGAGAACCAGGTTTGATTCCCCACTCCTCCACTTGCACCTGGCTGGATGACCTTGGGCAAGCCGTACTTCTGATAAGAGCTGTCCTTGAAAAAGAGCAGTTTCTGTCAAGAGCTCTCTCAGCCCCGCCTGCCTCACAGGGTGTCTGTTGTGGGGAGGGGAAGGGAAAGGAGTTTGTAAGCCGCTCTGAGACACCTTTGGGTAGTGAAGGGTGGGGTATAAATCCAATCTCCTCCTCCTCCTCCTCCTCCTCTTCTTCTTCTTCTTCTTCTTCTTCTTCTTCTTCTTCTTCTTCTTCTTCTTCTTCTTCTTCTTTTCATGCAGTTTTAATGTCCCTGGTTTGTTTTTATGGCTTTATGACTGATGATTTTTGCGATACTGGTTTTCCTTTGTGAGCTGCATCAAGCAGGTCTCTGTAGTGGCAGTGTGCACATAAAGAAATAAATTTGGAAAATTGGAGTTTTTTTAAAAATAGAAATCAGTCTTAGACAAATGATTATCCTTGAGAACTTGGGGTGAGGAGAGGAGGAGGTATAGAAAGAGAGGAGAGACTATCCTCTTCCCATTAGGGTGGCAGCTAACTGATAAACTGTGTTCCCGCTAAGCTGAGTTAGTGTGAGTACACCCCCCCCCAAAGCAATAGTCAAAGCAATGGTATTCCCAGTAGTCATGCATGGCCGCAAGAGTTGGACTATAAGGAAGGCCGAGCGCCGAAGAATAGATTCTTTTGAACTATGGTGCTGGAGAAGACTCTTGAGAATCCCTTGGACTGCAAGGAGATCAAATCAGTCAATCCTAAAAGAAATCAACCCTGACTGTTCCCTGGAAGGCCAGATAATGAAACTGAAGCTCAAATACTTTGGCCACCAAATGAGAAGGGAGCACTCACTGGAGAAGACCCTGATGCTGGGAAAGATTGAAGGTCAAAGAAGACGGGGACGGCAAAGGATGAGATGGTTAGACAGTGTCATAGATGCAACGAACATGAAATTGAGCAAACTTCAGAGGACGGCGGAAGACCGGAAGGCCTGGCGGCATCTAGTCCATGGGGTCGCGAAGAGTCGGACACGACTGTGCGACTGAACAACAACAAAAGACGAGGGAGGGCTCTAGACTGCATGAAGCCTGAACTCTCCCTAGAAGGTAAAATGACTAAACTGAGGCTATCGTACTTTGGTCACGTGATGAAAAGACAAGACTCAAGGACGACACCGCCCTCCGTTTGCAAGCCCTGAGCAAGGCTGTTAAAGAGAGGACGATTTGAAGGGCCTTCGTTCATACGGTCTTCGTAGGTCAGAAGCAACTTGACGCAGGCGCGTAGCTACAGTGGGGCACCTCGGGGCTAGGCCCCCTGACTTTACTGACAAGGCCTCACGACTCCCCATCCAGCCCAGGGCCCCTGAGCGGCGGCAGGTGTGAGGCAGGAGTCGGTATTACTTTAATTCGAAGAAATTTAAACTTGACCCATACACACACACACACACACACAAACATGAAGATAAGTGTGTTGGGAATATTGTGAGGAGACAAGGAAGAGATACGTGTGTGTATGTGTGCGTACGTGCATGCTATGTTTGAGATACCGCTTCAAAACTTTGTCTCCTAGTTTTTAATACACACGTTATGAAGTCTCTCATTCTTTCCATTCCAGCCTCTTCAGTAACCAGAGTTCCCCCCCCCCATACTTGTTAAGAGGTTTTCCAGGCGCTCCGTTGTGCCTTCCTCCTCACAGCTCCCCGGGGGTGTGATTATCTTTGATTATCTCATGATAAAGAGTCTCCCTGTCATAATTTACATCTTAATTTATGTAATTCTGTCCTGTAATAGCGATGTCTCTTTAACGTCAATTAAAACGTTCTGGCATTCATTGAACAAGGCAGCAAAAGTCTTCCACTCTGCCGGCCCTTTTATTTTTTTAAGAGATGCCTCTGAACCAATTGTTACTTCTGTCCTTTTCTACCCTGGCTGCCTGGCATCGATCCAGTACCCATTGACGTCAGTGGGGAAAGCTTAGCTTAACTCCACCAAGGAAGGCTGGTAATAGCTGGAGCTTTAAAGCCGTACGGGCCTAGTAGCCTCGACTGGGATGGCCCGATCTCGTCGTATCCCAGAAGATAAACAGGGTTGGTACTTAGATGGGCGACCACCAGGGGAATGTCTGCAGGGGAAGGCAAAGGCAAGTCACCATGGTTCATCTTAGGATGTATTAACAGAAGCATTGTGTCCGGATCACGGGAGGTGGTCGTTCCGCTCTATTCTGCTATGGTCAGGCCTCACCTGGAGTACTGTGTCCAGTTTGGGGCACCACGTTTTAGAAAGGATGTTGACAAGCTTGAGCGTGTCCAGAAGAGGGCCACCAGGATGGCGAGAGGGTCGGAATCCAAGTCTTATGAGGAAAGGCTGAAAGAGTTGGGTCTGTTTAGCGCCGAAGAATAGATTCTTTTGAACTATGGTGTTGGAGAAGACTCTTGAGAGTCCCTTGGACTGCAAGAAGATCAAATCAGTCAATCCTAAAAGAAATCGACTCTGACTGTTCCCTGGAAGGCCAGATAATGAAGCTGAAGCTCAAAGACTTTGGCCACACAATGAGAAGGGAGCACTCACTGGAGAAGACCCTGATGCTGGGAAAGATTGACGGTCAAAGAAGACGGGGACGGCAAAGGATGAGATGGTTAGACAGTGTCATAGATGCAATGAACATGAAATTGAGCAAACTTCAGAGGACGGCGGAAGACCGGAAGGCCTGGCGGCATCTGGTCCATGGGGTCGCGAAGAGTTGGACTCGACTGTGCGACTGAACAACAAAAAAATGTTTAGCCTGGGAAAGAGAAGGCTTAGAGGGGACATGATTGTGGTCTTCAAGTATTCCAAGGGCTGTCATGTAGAAGATGGAACAGATCTATTCTCTCTTGCTCTGGATTGCAAGACTCGATCTAATGGGGAAATGACAAGGGAGTCATTACCGGCTAAATATCAGGAGAAACTTCCTAACTGTAAGAGTGGTTGAGCAGTGGAACAGTCTGCCTCGGGAGGTGGTGGATGCTCCTTCGCTGGACGTTTTCAAGCGGAGGCTGGACGGCCATCTTTCGGGTATGTTGTAGGTGTGTAGGGCTACCTTTCGGCTCTGCTCCTGCAGAGTACAAGGAGTTGGACTAGATGACCTGCAAGGTCCATTCCAACTCTAACATTCTATGATTCTATGATCTCTTGCCTTGACCTAAGATAGCCCAGGCTAGCCCAATCTCTTCAGGTCTCGGAAGCTAAGCAGGGTCAGTCAGCCCTGCTTCATATTTAGGTGGGAGACCACTAAGGAATTCCAGGGTTGCAACGCAGAGGCAGGTGACGGCAAACCACCTCTGGTAATCTCTGTTGGGGGAAACAGTCAAAAATACTTAGAGTTTGCAATGGATCTTTGCTTCACTGGAGAGGAGACATTTCTTTCTTTGAAAAAAAGCTTTATTTCTAAGGGTAAAAGGTACACAGGAAACCTACAAACAAAAGAACTATCTAGAACTACATTGTTACATGCTTACAGCTACAGACACATGGTCACACAACAACAGAGAATCCTCCTTCATCTTGACCCCTAGAAGGAAATCACCTGAATCCATTAACCAATCAACAGCATTTACTTTTGCAGGCTACTCTTGCATTGGCTGCCTGCCAGGTTTCCTTCCAGGTCAGTCTAAACCATGGTACAGAAGGTAAACCAGTTAACCCTATAATGGCTGGAATCTGGACCTTGCAACTCATACATTTCCAACAATGTCTTGCCTTGAAAACCCTTCGGGATCGCCATAAGTTGGCTGCGACTTGACGGTGCTCTCCTCCACAGCCCACCATGAGTGCTGTACTTCTTATATAGTAAACCCGTTGCTCTGTATTTCTCTAGGAAGACATAGCCGTTCCCTCATTCACAACATTGATTTTATGGTGGCCCCTATCCCAAAGGACTATATCTTAAAGTTTCTTTGACTGGGATGTCACAGTGGCTACAGTGGCCCCAGTCACACGGGCCAGATAACGCAGGGGGGAGGTGTGGCTGTTCGCCCCGGAGCAAAGAAAAGTGCAGTAGCCTGATCACACAGTCCTCCGAGTCTTCACGCTTAGGCTGTTAGCTGGTGATCACACGGCGATGCTGGAGCGTGTTGGGTCTGCGATCAGGGAGAAAAGCAGGAGATGCCGTGGAGTGAGCCACCCACATGCTTTCCATGTTTATCCACATGTCTGTCATGGCTTTAAATCCCACAATCGGCGTCAGTGGTGGAAAGTGCCATCAAGTCTGAATTCCAGGTAACGTCAGGGGAAGGCTTCGACCTCTATGCCCTGTTGTTGGCTGTCCAGAGGAGCTGTGTGAGATAGGATGCTGGACTGGATAGACCCCTGGTCTGATCGAGCAGGGCTCTTCTGATGTTCTGATGAAGGCTCAGCCTTTGTGCCCTGTTGTTGGCCCTCCAGAGGAACTGGTTGGCCACTGTGTGAGACAGGATGCTGGACTGGATGGACCACTGGTCTGATCCAGCAGGGCTCTTCTGAAGTTCTGATGAAGGCCTCAGCATCAGTGCCCTGTTGTTGGCCATCCAATGGAATTGGCTGGCCACTGCGTGCGACAGGATGCTGGACTCAATGGACCACTGGCCTGATCCATCAGTGCTCTTCTCGTGTTCTAACGAAGGCCTCGGCCTCTCTGCCCTGTTGTTGTCCCTCCAGAGGAACTGGTTGGCCAATGTGTGAGACGGGATGCTGGACTAGATGGACTATTGGTCTGATCCAGCAGGGCTCCTCTTAAGTCTCAGCCTCCTCATGGTGATCCTGTACCGTGTTCAAGGCAAGAGACATTCAGAGGTGGTTTGCCATTGCCTGCCTCTATGGAGCGGCCTTGGACTTCCCTGGTGGTCTCCCATTTAAGTGCTAACCAGGGCTGCCCCTGCTTATCTTTTGGGATCTGATGAAATTGGGCTATTTTGGGCCATGCAGGTCTGGGTAGATCAGTCATCAGTGCCCAGTAATTGAATATGTTTGTATACACGGAACATGTAGAATAATATTAGGGAAGTGTTACCCGTCTGTACAGAAAATCAGGCTTGTGATCTCCATACAATCATGATTGTACCTTTAAAATAATTAGGTGCTGCCAAGTTGCAGCCAAATCACGGCGACCCCTCATTGGGTTTTCAAGGCAAGACATGGTTGCCAAAGGGACTACACTAAAAGCCGATCCTTCTTGTAGTTAGGGCAACTGCACAGGTTGCAAATTTCACACACTGTAGCCAGAATCTATTTTCGGAGTGTTGTTTGCTCTTCTGACATGTATTTTTGGTTTGAAAAAATTCGGTCCGATTTGCATACCCACGCTGCATTGCAGGCAGACAAGTCCCATAAGGCTCTGTGCCCGCCCTTGGCCTTGTTTGCCTGCGCTGTGACCATCGGACCCCTGCTCAATTTCCCCTGACTTTTGCTGACAGTAGCTGTCCTATCTCAAGGCCAAACTCACACCAGCAACAGAAAAGAGCTATGGCTTAATGACAGAGTTTCTGCCTAGTATATGGGAGGTTCCAGGTTCAATTCCCCCAGGTGCCCATAACTAATGAGTGTTCAGTCTTTGTCTCCTTCTGTGCTGATTTTTGGTATCCTTTTAACCTATTTCTATTTTTTTTTTTTACCATATTGCCAGGAGTCCTAGGAGAGGACTCCCTGTCCCCCAAGGGGCAACTCGAATGATAAAAGGGTTGGAACACTTTCCCTATGAGGAAAGGTTAAGGCGCTTAGGGCTCTTTAGCTTGGAGAAACGACGACTGAGGGGTGACATGATTGAGGTTTATAAGATTATGCATGGGAAAGAGCAGGTAGAGAAAGAGGTACTTTTCTCCCTTTCTTACAATACAAGAACTCGTGGGCACTCCATGAAATTGCTGAGCGGTTGGGTTAGAACGGATAAAAGGAAGTACTTCTTCACCAAAGAGTGATTAACACTTGGAATTCACTGCCACAGGAAGTGGTGGTGGCGGCTACAAGCATGGACGGCTTCAAAAGGGAATTAGATAAGCATATGGAGCAGAGGTCCATCAGTGGCTATTAGCCACAAGGTATAGATAGGGACTCTGGGGCAAGTGATGCTCTGTCATCTTGGTGCTTGGGGGGGGTCAACAGTGGGAGGGCTTCTAATGTCCTGGCCCCACTGGTGGACCTCCTGATGGCACCTGGTATTTCTGGCCACTGTGTGATACAGAGTGTTGGACTGGATGGGCCTTTGGCCTGATCCAACACTGGCATCTCTTATGTTCTTAAATTCTGACTCTTTGGCTAGGATGAGAAGGTCCTGGAGTTTATGACCAGCGTGGACCAGCAAAAAGAGCAGAGAAATGGGAAAAGGGAGTGCAGTGGCCCTTGGCGCCTGAGGGCCATCACCCGTGAAGAGGGGCCCCTGCCCCCCATTAACTTCATAGCCATGGTGACTTGCTGTAACAGTTGCCTTCCTCTGCATAACAACCCTAGACTTCCTCGGGGGTCTCCATTTCAAGTACTAACTGTGGCCAACCCTCCTTAGCTTCCGAGATCAGGCTGGCCTGGGCCCGCCATCGTGTGAAAGTCTGTTTATTTCCATAAGTCCTGCCCTAGAACATGACGCACCTCTCACTCTTAATGTGTCCCCCATTATTCTTTCTTTGCAGAATGGAAGCTGTATGTTTACCGGGCTGAAAACTCCCAAAAGGCGTGAGCTATTGATTTCTAATGCAACCTTTGTGAACTTTGACATTCTCAACTGCACCGCAATCGCCCCCTGTTCTGGCTGTCAGCGGGGTCAGGGTATGTTAGGCTTTCGATACTGAAGCAAAATACAGTGTGTGTGTGTGTGGGGGGGCTGCCCTTCTGATTTGATTTTTCTTCCCATGTGTGATGCTTTTCTTTAGAATCTGATGATAATATTTAAAAAAAAACAAAACCTGAGGCAAAACTCCCTCCTACTTACAAATTAACATTCGAAGCCAGATTGCTAATGCGACTGCATGAAAACCAGCTGGATTTATGGGTAGAGGCAGAGAGTAGGAGTGGGTGTGGGTGGGGAATTGATAGGAAGAGGGCAGAATGTGGTAGACCTCCTCAGTAATTCTTCAGAGCCCTACCCAAGACCCTCTTTGATATTTTTTAATGCCTAGAGAGGCATTTTCAATATTTTTTCCCCCTCACTGTAATGATATCAGGCTAGACTGGGTTGTCCAGGCCAGGATTCATACGTCTCTAGGAATCGCCACAAACCCCCCCCCCCCACACACCTTTATGGTAAAACCATAGAGTGCCTTTCTCTGTGGTAAAACCATAGAGTAACAGTATTTCCCCTCTTCCTGTCATGAGCACTGGGGGTTAACCTGCAAGAGACTAGTTTTCTCAGGGTATACTTTGTTTCTTTTCAGGTGGATTTACTGTGAGAGCAGAACAGGTACTCCTCTTAAATGCACCAAACTGGATATCGTTCCCGTCCCCTCATTCGGCCATTCTTGAAGATCTAGACGGATCCATCACGGGACAGGAGGGGAGTTGCCTCCTTCCCTCCATGGATATACTTCCAACTTCCTGTAGGGCCAGCGTCAACACCACTCAAACCACCAGGGGCAGCATTTGCGCTGGAAGTTACATTTTTCACCGCATGTCCATTGGCCTGTGAGTATTCCATTATAACTTTTTTGAGGAAAGGTACGTGCTCATCATAAAGGTTTGGGGGTAGGGTTGCCAGAGCCAAGTTGAGGAAGTCCTGGAGATTTGGGGGTGGAGCCTGTGGAGGACAGGGACCTCAGTGAGGTACAATGCCATAGAATCCATCCTCCAACATTTTCTCCAGGGGAACTGATCTCTGTAGTCTGGTGACGTCCTGTAACTCCAGTGGATCCCCAGGTCCCACCTGGAGGTTGGCATCCCCATTGAACGAAGCAGTAGGTTTCAGTGTCGAACTACACTTGTGTTAACAGCCACCATTCTGAGTCAGTTCTTTAAATTGTGGGTTTTATTTTTCCAGAGATAGATAATTATACGAGATTGTTGCGCAAACATACCAAATGGGAAACACTTAGCGCTAGAGAGAGTGTTTGTCTTAACGCAGGAGAGATATGGACCCTTAGGACAAGTAAGCTAATGGTAAACATAAACAGGAGGCTTAATATTTATTCCTCTCGGAGCTGTTGATTGGTTTAGCAAATCCTTTGTGGGCCATCCGCGCTCGACAGTGTTGTGCTCCACAGTCGAGCTAAATTACGTAACGACGTACAGAACCGCCGCCGTCGATGTCTCACTCCGGCGACGGAGTTCCACCGACCAGTCGTGTCACATTTCTGAAGTGTTTCGCTTCTTCGTCGAGACTTGACGTGTGACGACCCAGCGTCGCTCGACAACCATCCGGGTCCGTGTTTTTAATTTCCATTGGCGTCTGACGGTTGGAGGCGCAGGTTGGGTTGTGCGTTATGGCTTTTGCCTCCTCCTGGCTTCTTCTGCATAAAGGCGAGAGCAGATCCTAGAGAGACTCCCTCCTCCCTCGGTAATGAAAGTGCTCTTGTGCTAATGATCCATGCAGGCTCCCCCCGGCTCCTCCGAATTACAAATACTCATGCCCTCCTCTGCTCCATTAACATTAAGGAGAGGTAGATTGGTGGCTATTTAGGGCACAGTGAAAATTACTGGCTATTTAGGGCAAATTAAAATGGTGCTAATTGTGGATGCAGGAGTGCTCAATTATGCCGGCGATATAGTAGTTCTATTTTGGTGCCAGCTTGACGGGGCATAAAAGCAGAGCCATTGTTTGGGAAAGGAAGCATGGTGGCTCCCTTGGAAACCTTCTCTGGCGGGAAGGCAGGAGAGGAGAGGTTTGCTACGATTCAACGAAAATTCAGTTCGGGACGAAGCGTGTGCTTTTCAGAGGGAGGACGGCGTGTGGCACCCCTGCCTTCTCAAGCTTTTAGCAACGTTTTGCTCTCGCAGGGCATTGGACGGCGATTTAGTCATTACCGTATTCCCACTTTTATGTTTCGCAGCGCATGCTGCTGGAGTTGGAAGGATCATATTGCACAGGGGGGTTAGGTTTGTCCAACGTCAGGTGTAGAGCACCCATATCATAAAAATATAGACAATGGTTTACGGTGTAGAGCACCCTGTCTAATCTAGTCCATATCATAAAAATATAGACAATGGTTTAGACAATGTTGGGTCCAGGACAAGCGTCTCCAACATGGTGCCCATGGGTGTCATGGTGCCTACCAACACCTTTCCGCCGTGTGTTTTTAAAAGTGGGCATGGCCAGGTGGGGCTTTTGGCTGGGGAGATTTTTTAAAAACATTGTTTTGGCAGACCGGCACAAGAATCTTCATTGTGTGGCTGAAAGCATGCTATGGCAGCCATTTTGTGGTCGGCTACATCTCCTTCAGCAGCCATTTTGTGTCTGCGCCCCCCACAGTGTGTCAGAATTCCGCTGGCGCCTGCCAGCTCAGGATGGTTGGGGACCTTTAGTCTAGGATAAAGGACATCTAGCAGATCTGTGGTAGAATTTGAATGACGGCCTGTGTCTCTTGTAGGCACGGCTATAGGGTGACCGATTACCTTAATAGTTCACCAGAAAGATTTCTGCTGCATGATCGCTCAAGTAGTAGTAGAAGAAGAGATTGGATTTATACCCCCGCCCTTCACTACCCCAAGGTCATGGTCACACGGTCATTTTGATCGGGTTTCACAACTGTTCCCTATCGCATTTAAGAGGGCTGTTCAGACAGCCGATTCTGTCTCCCGTATTGAAGTGGACTCACCCCCGCAATCCTCCCGGTTTTCTAGCGCATTTTCCCACACTGGGGAAATCGAGTACTTTCCTACTACTTGCGCTGTAAATCCACAATTTCTCCTATCTGGACAGCCATCTCTCGCTATGAATACGATTAGGTCATCTGTACATCCTTCTTCCAGTAGCTTTTCCCCCCACCGACTTTCACCATTGTGTGCATGGCCAATCCTGCGCTGAATATATTAAATGCATAAACGCTCAAGCACACATAGACCAGCACTCAGTTGCACATCGGTAGTTCATTTTGTTCCAGGATCCCAACCTGGAGCTGGAAACCCTACCCCCACCCCCCTGCTGGTAGCTAGGGGGGACCCGGAGACCCTAACTCGACCCCTTAGCCAGGGTCTGCTGAAGACCGTGAATGCAGAGGCAGCTCAGAAATATAGTGAGCATTCTAGAGTCAGGGATAAAACCACAAGGGGGTAACAGGTAATGCCGGAGTTTCGCTTACAGAATCCTGCACAGTGCAGTTTCGGAATTCTTTACCACCACCACCACCTCAGTTCCTCACAGACTGCCAACTGGTTAGTATAGCGGATGGTAAATTGGTAGGTTCCAGTCCAACCACAAAAGCAGGAAAACTACTGGGTTTCCAAACACTTGGGGCACTCCCAGCTATTCGGGGGGGGGGGGAATATTTGCAAATTAACCAAAAGACAACAAAATAATACAGCCTCTTGAGAACGGAGTATGCCGAGCAGCATAAAATGTTGAGAACAGGGTGTGGTCAGCTCCCCCTCCCGGCTCTGCTCAAGCCCCCCCCCGGTGAGGTCGTGGATGCCCCCATGATATCTCATGGGCCTCCAACTCATCATATCGGCTTGTCACTTGCTGATCAGTTGATTCGTTCTCTTTCCCAAGCATGACCCAAAATAGTTTATTTAAAGCCTTCAGGGGGGGGAAATAGAAACCCGCTAGACAAACGGAGCTGTGGAAAAAAATTATGGCTTCTCAATGGAAGCATCAGTCATTATGAAATTATAACCTTACGTAACTGCAGGTTGCAGGCCCAAGCAAAGTGCCATGTTTATCAGGAAGTCTGCTCAGATTGGTACCCGAGAGGGGAAGCTATCTATAAAAGATGGGAATAGTTTGTGGAAGAGAGGACTGTGGGGAAAGTGGGCTTGCCTGGACTGGTTGGTCAAGTGCCCCCAAGTTGTGTAATGGAAACAGTTGTGCTCAAACAGCATAGGGAAGAGGGGGCCAGATTGGTGTGGTGGTGAAGTGCACGGACTCTACTCTGGTAGAACCCGGGTTTGATTCCCCCCTCCTCCCCTTGCACCTGCTGGCTAACCTGGGGCAAGCCATAGTTCTGTCAGAGCTGTTCTTGAAAAAGAGCAGTTTCTGTCAAGAGCTCTC